TCTTTCTGAAGATTTTTTTCTTTTCTCATTTAAAACTTGCAAGACACAGAGAGGATTCATTTCAGAGGAGAAAGTTAGTGTTTCTGATGAAAGCAATCCAGGGCAGCTGCATGTCCTGCACCAGCCACCTCACCTCTCCTTGAATGCCAAATAGAGGAAGGTAAGAGCCTGCCTGTTCTGCTTCTGCTAGGCATTGGAGCAGGGATTTTACACAAAGAGCGATTCATTTCTTTAAAGAACAGACAAATGTATAGTTACAGTCACAGTGATGAAATGGGAAAAAAAAAAAGAAACTAAACTAACTGAGCTCTGAAAAGGTCCTATTTCTGAGGCACTTCATTGTACTTCATTATTCTGACATGACCAAAATCATCCTCAACATCAGCATCTCTATTAACAGCTTCAGCAGAGAAACCAGCATCTGAATTAGTTAAGGACTGATCTAATCTCATTTCTCCATATTCAGTCACTCCCCAACAAGCTTGAAATGAAAATGCAGTAAAAAAGTTTGCACCCTGTCACTGGTCCAGCAGCCCCACCTCTCTCCAGCCCATTCCTCTTTGGAGGGTCAGGGGAAGTAAACATCAGCTTTGAATGCTATCAAGTTGCATTTCTAAAGGATGCCAAAAAAAAAAGCTATACAGAACACAAAAGCTATCGTCCACACTCTTCAGTGTAATGACTAACTCACCAATACACTGGACATTCCTGATCTATGACTTTTAGATGCATTGTACACTAAATCAAAAAGAAGAAAAGTTATTATTGCTTAGGCCTTTCATGCATAGCATTGCCTTATTCATAAATTAGTGCTTTCAAGACAGATATGAGTAAATAAATGGCCTCAGCAATTCCAGCTGTCATAGAGTTGAAATGGGATAAAGAAAGAACATGAACAGCACCACATCAGGTGATCCAGTGATACATGTCCACAAAATCCTGTTTAATTCTTAAGATTAACTCTATGCCTCAGCACAAGTCTTTTTTTTCTATTTTAGTTTTAGATTGGAAGACCTTAACCAGAATATTTTCTCTAAATGGCTGGGTTATCTAACAAGAAAATAAGCAGCTCAATTTAATTTAACAAGCATTTATCATGAATCCAAATAAAACAAAGTTATATTTTTATATGCATCAACAAAAAATTGAGGGGAAAAAAATCACGTAAACAAGCTAGTAAATTCCGGGGTTTTTTTGTCCAATACACTGTATGTAATAGTGCTAAGATAAACACTTTGTGATGAAGACAAATAGATAGAGTATCTTATTTCTAGTAGTAAAATAGTATCTCCTAAAACACTCTTCTGTGGGGGGGAAGAGAGACAAAGAAGGAGGGAGAGTAGGCTCTTCAGGCAAAACCAAAAATATTTGATTTCTTTAAGTTTGCTTTAAAATAGATTCTTCATAGGTAAGAGCTGATTTTAGTGTTCATGTTACAATTTGCTCTTGACTTTGCAAAGAGGTTCATAGGGCTTCTCAACACTCCAGAACTGTGCCAGAAATGAACTGAACAAATTTTCATGAATCAAAATCAAAAGGTGGAGAGGAAAAAACCAAACACACCAATGATTAACTATTGCCACAAAGGAAGTAATGAATGCATAGGCAGCTGTAGTTTAAAGTTATCTTAGGATTACACTGTAGTGGAGATCCCATATTTTGTATTCCTAAAGGGAAGTGACCTACCAAACACTAGAAATATTATAATTCAATAACCTTTTTTCCATTTTAATTAGACTTCTTAGAGAAAGCATAGGCTGTCAGACTTTGTTTTCTCTGTTTAATTACTTCAAAAGGAAATTTCAAATGCTTCTGCACCATTTGCATCTTAAAACTTTCTGTAGATGACTGACATTATACTGACCCCTAACACAACTCCTGTTCAGAGTTACTATTTATAAATTCTGGCAGTAGTTTACATCATTCAATTTAAGCCACAAGCATCAGGTTTGTGACAATGGTCAACCTTTGCTGGAATAGCTTCACATGCAAACCAATCATTACAGATTCTTCTGCCTTTGGTGAAGGAAACACAGCAGAAGCCTTCTTTACACGGCACACACTGAAGGACACGTTCCAAGTGTCAACAGAGAATACACACCAAAATCTACAAAAGGACCAGTAACAAATCATGAAGATCAGATGCTATTTTCCTAAGAATTCTAAAGAAACTGAAAGAAGCTGAAAAATTAAATATAGCATCTAATCTCCAGAGCAGTAGAAAGCAGCAAATGTGGCACATTAACAAAGACTATAAAGGGATCTACTGGGCTGAAGCTACAGAGCAGTAGTTCCGACATCCACAATGAACAAAGGGATAAGAAAACCATAATAATGGATACCACAAATGAGGATGATAAATGATCACATTGCACAAGAGCCAGCACAGCTTTTGGGGGAAGAAAGTCTTGCCCCCTACATCTATTCAAATTCTTGGAGAAGTCAACAAGCATACAAACAAGGAAGATAACTATCTCTAGGTAGATCTCTCTAGGCAGATGATCCCATGCAGCCATTTTTCACAGCCATTTTCATAACTGCTCACCAGCAATTATTTTGTGCATGGTTTTTTCTTGGCAAATACTAACTCGCTAAATAAACCCCAAACCAAAAAAACCCCAACAAAAACCCAACAAAAATACCCCACCTTTCTGTCGTCACAAGATACTTCTAGGCAGTGGACACGCTATGCTAAGCTTGTAGTGTGTGCAGTTGGCCGTATTATTCAAGGATGACTAACTGCAAATTGAACACTCCTGGCTAATACATTTTGTAAAGACTTGACAAAAAGCAAAACTGATAAATGCTGAAAATTAATCCCAGGAAAGAGGGGAAGAAAACAAAATCCAAACACACAATACAGTCTTTTCTTCTGCCAAACACCTAAAGATCTAAATAAAAATATTACTGCTTGAATATAATCACCATTATATCATGTTATTTGGAAAAACATCTGATCATATTCCAAAACACTGTAGTGTACCACTCTGACAAGCTGGTAAACACAATATAGACAGACAAGGTTTATAACTGGTAGAGTAGCAAACCATACAAACAGCTTACGATATACCTAGACTGAGTGTATTTAAGTCTTTATGCATAAAGTCTCAAATATATTTTATGTACATTTGGTTTAAGTTTTAAGTAGCTTCTCTACATGTGGATTCTGCTCCAGTCTCCCTCACAGCCAAATAAAAGTGGAAGAGGAAATGTTATGATAAACACACAGTCATGAGATTCACGCAATCTGATTTCAAGCACTACCTTTGACTTCACATTCAAACTAAATTTCTTAATCTGGGTCTGTACCTGCAGAAAGCAATTTGAAGAATCCCTTTGCTAATATTGTGAGGCTCTTGTAATCCCAGGTGCAGTTTGTGACAGCAGACACCAATCCAGAGAAGCCACCTTGAGTCCCATCTCCCTTTCCACAAGATTTCTTCTCACCCTGCACATGTTTCTAGTCCTTCCTTCCACCAGCAGCAGCCCTCACCAGATGCCTCAGTGGGTTATTGAGGGCATCAGGCTGTAGCTGTGTGGTTGGATTCTGCCAGCCCAGGGCCCTGGGTCAGTTCACCAAAAGGGTCAGAAAAGCTTCAATGCCAGCATGTAGGAGAGGCAGCCTAAAGGCGAGGGCAGGGCAGGTTTACAGCAGCACCGTTCAGATCAGCCTCAACTATGGTGGAGATGGAAACCACACCCACAGCTGTCCTCCCATACAGCAATGACATGGAGAATTCAAGTAAACTGTCCAGGAAGAGCAGAGGAAAGCATTTAAGGAAAGCATTTAACTGTCTCACTTAAAAAAAAAAAAAAAAAGAATTTAGAAAATCGATTGTGCTGGTTTTCAGTCTCTAAGTCTTAAATTGGACAAAAAGAAGCAGAGAAGAGAAAGAAAGTGAGAGTGCATGAGTGGGAAAGAGTGCATTTGTGTGAGAGAATGGAAAACAAAGGTTTTAGAGTGGATTAGGCTTGAGTTCACATACTTATAAAAAGAGCTTTCATATTTTACACTGAAAACCAAGTACTTATTAGCAAGAGCTCATGACAGTAATAATCCAGAATTACCGTATAAAAAAATGAAAACTTTATATTTATTCAATATGAAAGTTTTAAAGCTCTTAATAACCCATGAAGAATGAATTTCAACAGGACTACTAAAATGTGCAGTTTCCACACCTGATGTATGTGACTAACTGATAAGCTAAGTTTAGAACCATGGTGTTTAGACCTTATAATGCATGAAACAGAAGTCTCTTTATTCTCCTTCACATATGTCAATTTAATTTTCAGAGCCAGTCATAAATGATGAACTAAAGCACTGAGTTTAAGGCAGCCTGTATAACAGACTGGTGCTTCTCTCGCACTGTGCTTTGCTCCCTGCTAACCTGATGAAAGAGCAGTGCTGCAACCGTCCTCTTTTCACCCAAGACCCCTGAAGTACGGATCACCGTCTTCCCATTTCTTCTTCACCTGCTTCCATCCCAGAAATCTTCGATTGGTCCTATCTGCTCTACTTCGGCACTGTGCAAACAGCTCTCCTTCCTTCCCCCAGCTTTGGAGGAGAAGAAAAAGACAAAGCAGCACAAAATGAGAATGCAATGCCCAGCAAACACCAATAATTTGGTATGCCAGCTATAATGAACAGCAGCACCACCACAGCAGCCATATACTAGACTAGACATCAAGACGTACAGCTGCAAAACATCATATATACTTAGAAGCCTGAATAATAGTAGGAAAAATATACCAACAGTTTGAAGCAACGGAATCATATGAAAGGGAAAACAGATCTTTGCCCATTAAAAACCACATACAATTGTGCCGAGAGGGAAAAAATTTATTGGTCCTTTAGATTTCCAATGATTGCTTGTATTATGTTCAGCAAATTCATTCAAATATTACATACAAAGGATACCTTTTCTCCATTTGCAATGTTACAGCTAGCTTAACATTCAGTGGAAATGTAAGGAATAAAAGCAAAAAAATATAATTTTCAAATTATTTGTGAAATACAAGATTTTTTTTTTCCTATTTCAGCAAAACACTTGCAAAGAACTAGGTTCTGTGCTCAGTACCCATCTTCCATGAAGACGACTCTCGCATACTCACAGAAGGCACTTGAAATTCCTGGAAGTTGGGATGTCAGGAAGAGGAGGGATCAGCTACCACTTGGATAACAATATGCTCATTTTTAATAAGTGCAATACTAGTATAAATTCAAACAGCCACAAAGCATTAAGATACAAAAACTTAGCTAGACACGCTAACTAAAGGGCTGCAAAGCTGGAGTACAACAAATCCTTCGTGTCACTGTCACCATTACTCATCATCTCCACCACAGAGGAGCAGGAGTGCTTTCCTGTAGTCCCCAGATGTATCTTTCTGTTAATATAACAGACCAGTCACCATGAGTCACAACCACAGAAATGTGAAGAAAAACAGCAGCCAAGGATGACTCCAACAAATTATACATTTGCCCCACCCACAAGAAATCCACTTGGATGACTCTCCACTCAGGAATGACGCAAAGAAATTCTCTCTCATATTAGAGCTGTATTTACACAGACAGACTTTCAGAAACACAAAAAAGCCTCCAAAAGCTTTACTAGAGCTGAGCTACCCACTGCATATTAGGATGCATTTGTCTGCCAGTGAGAAAGTCCAAACAAAGAAGCAGCCCAAAGCAGCCCCAAAAGCAACAGCCTCTAAATGTGCAAAGTGCACCCACCATCACTTAGAAAGGCCCCAGCCCTGTTCCCTCTAATTAACAGGAAGCTCTGCTACTAATTCTGCAGCACAGCTGTATGGGCCTGACTGACAGTGTCAAAAGCAACTCCACCGAGCCTAATTAAGAGAGCACAACGTCAGGAATGACACAGAAAATCGTAAAAAGCAGCATTTAAAAAGAAAACAAAATACCCCCAAAAATGCCTAGGAACAAAAGCATTCTGCCTTCAACTTTGCAGCAGCAGTTGGCTCTGGAT